AGGTGGTACCTCATTGTTGTTTTAATTTGCATCTATCTGATGATACGTGACTTTGAGCATTTTTTCATATGTCTCTTGGCCATTCTTTAGAGAAGTGACTATTCAGGTCCTCTGCCCATTTTTTAATTGGATTGTTTGTCTTCCTTTTGTTGAGTTGTATGAGTACTTTATATGTTTTGGAAATTAACGCCTTATCAGGTGTATCATTGATGCTGTTTTTTTTTGCTGCACAGAAACTTTTTAGTTTCTAAAAAAACCAGGATTTTTATGGTTTCTCAACTTACCCTTTCGTCTTTTATCCATTTTGAATTTATTCTTGTGTATGGCATAAGTTGGTGGTCTAGTTTCATTTTTTTGCATGTATCTGTACAATTTTCCCAACACTATTTATTGAAGAGTCTGTCTTCACTCCATTTTATGCTCTTGCCTCCTTTGTCAAATATTAATTGAGTATAATGGTCGATTTCTGGGTTCTCTGTTCTGTTCCATTGATCTATATGCCTGTTCTTGTGCCAGTACCAGGCTGTTTTGATTACAGTGGCTTTGTAGTGTAAGTTGATATCTGGTATTGTGATCCTTCCAACTTTGTTCTTTCTCAAGATTGCCGTGGCTATTCAGTGTCTTTTTTTAGTTCCATATAAATTTTTGGAGTATTTGTTCTAGATCTGTGAAATATGTCATTGGTATTTTAGTAGGGATTGCTTTGAATCTATAGATTGCTTTGGGTAGTATGGACATTTCAATGATGTTAATTCTTCCAATCCATGAACACAGTATATTCTTCACTTGTTTATATCTTCCTCTATCTCTTTTTTCAATGTCCTATAGTTTTCCGTGTACAGGTCTTTTACCTCCTTCATTAAGGGACACTTGGTTATTCCTAAGTATCTTTATTTTTTTGTTGCAATGGTAAATGGGATTTTTTTTAGTTTCTCTTTCTGAGAGTTCGTTTTTGGTGTATAAAAATGCCATCACTTTCTGGATGTTAATTTTGTTTCCTGCTACATTGCCAGATTCATTTATTAAATCTAGTTTTTTGGTGGAGTCTTTAGGGTTTTCTATGTACAATATCATGTCATCTGCAAATAATGACAGTTTTACTTCCCCCTTTCCAATTTGGATGCCTTTTATCTTTTTCCTCCTGTCTGATGGCTGTGGCAAGGACTTCCAGTGCTATGTTGAATAAGAGTGGTGAAAGCCGGCAGCCCTGTCTTGTTTCTGTTCTTAGGGAAAATACTTTTAGTTTTTGCCCACTGAGTATGCTGTTGGCTGTAGGTTTGTCATATGGCCTTTATTATGCTGAGGTATGATCCCTCTATTCCCACTTTGCTGAGAGTTTTTATCAAAAATGGGTGTTGGATTTTGTCAAATGCTTTTTCTTCATCTATTGATATGATCATGTGATTTTTGTCTTTCAATTTGTTTATGTGATGTACCACATTTATTGATTTGCGAATATTGTACCAGCCTTGCATCCCTGGAATAAATCCCACTTGGTCATGGTATATGATCTTTTTAATATATTGCTGGAACCAATTTGCTAATACTTTATTGAGGTTTTTAGCATCAGGAATATTGGACTGTAATTCTCTTTCTTCGTAGTGTCTTTATCTGGTTTTGAAATTAGGATCATGCTGGCCCTGTAAGAAGAGCTTGGAAGTCTTCCTTCCTCTTGAAGTTTCTGGAATAGTTTGAGGAGGATAGTTGTTAGTTCTTCTTTGAATGTTTTATAAAACTCCCCTGTGAAGCCATCTGGACCAGGGCTTTTGTTTACTGGGAGTTTCTTAATTACTGCTTCAGTTTCATTAGTTGTTATTGATCTGTTCAGGTTTTCTGAATCTTCCTGATTGAGTTTTGGAAGATTGTATTTTTCTAGGAATTCGTCCATTTCATCCAGGTTGTCCAGGTTGTTGGCATGTAGTTGTTCATAGTATTTTCTCACAATCCTTTGTATTTCTGTGGTGTCAGCTGTTACTTCACCTCTTTTATTTCTGATTTTATTTGGGTCCTTTCTCCTTGTTTCCTGATGAGTATGGCTAAAGGTTCAACAATCTTTTTTATCTTTTCAAAGAACCAGCTCTTGGTTTCATTGGTCTTTTGTATTTTTTTTTTATTCCCTATGTCACTTATTTTCTTTATAATCTTTGTTATTTCCTACCTTCTACTTACTCTGGGCTTTTCTTGCTGTTCTCTTTCTAATTCTTTAAGTTGTAGGGTTAGATAGTTTATTAGAGATTTTTTTGTTGTTTCTTGAGCTATGAACTTCCCTCTTAGGACTGCTTTCGCTGTGTCCCATAGATTTTGTGTTGCTGTTCATTTCCATTTGTTTGCAAGAAGTTTGTGATCTTCCTTGATCTCTTTGGTAACCCATTCATTCTTTAATAATATGCTATTTAGCCTCCATGTGCTTGAATGTTTTTATTGTAGTTGATTTCTAGTTTCATGCTGTTGTGATTTGAGAAGATGCTTGATATGATTTCAATCTTCTTGAATTTTTAGACTTATTTTGTGTCCTAACATGTGGTCTATCTTTGAAAATCTCCCATATGTACTTGAAGAATGTATATTCTGCAGCTTTGTGGTGAAATATTCTGTAAATGTCAATAAAATCCATCTGATTTAGTGTGTCAATTAGGGTCGCTATTTCCTTGTTGATTTTCTGTCTGGAAGATCTGTCCAGTGATGTCATTAAAGCCCCCTACTATGACTGTATTGCTGTCTCTCCCTTAAAGTCCCCCAGAAGTTTTTTAATATATTTGGATGCTCCTATATTGGGTGCATATATGTTTACCAGGGTTATATCCTCTAAGTTATATTTTTAAAATTAAATTCTGTCAAAACTGTATGTGTCTTATAAAATAGGCTGGGCAATATGAAATTATTTTCTATATTCTAATACAGTTGCATACAGTTGTAATAATATAAGAACTTTGAGGACTTTGAAAAAATCCTCCACTGAATTCGCTGGATCCAAGGATGTCTTTGAAAGACTCATTTTGTATTAATTGTGTTCTTTTGATGTTGATCTAATCATTTTCCTGTTTTTTACTGCATTCTTAGCATTATGGATATTTAGCTTGCCATCTGTCTCTGATGAATCATCATGTTTCTTATTCATTAGATAAAAGGGAAATGTCATGGAAAGCATTTTTGCCTGGGCCAGAAGTTGGCCTGAACTTCTAACATTACATCCAGTAGTAAGAGTCTCTCACCTTTTCATTAAGATTCTCTAGCAGGTTGTTGAATGTCTTCTTATCTTTTTTCTTAACCCCCTACTGCATCTTTAAGACCATACCCTCTCCCTTTCCCTGGCTCAAATCACAGGCTCTACCCAGCTCTCACTGCTCAAAGTTCATTGTCCACAAATTCCTGGATCCCTTTGTAGCCTCCCCAGCTCACTGAACCATAGAGTTGGTCAGGTTTCCTCTTTGCCCACAGGTATCCTGTTCCTGCAGCTGCAGATGAGGGTGGCATTGCGGTTAGAGGGCTGATCTAGGTTTAAATCCTTATTTGGATGTTTACCACTTCTGAAACTTTGAATACATAATTTAACCTTTCTAAGCCTTAGTTTTCTCACCTATAAATTAAAGATAACAATAGTCTCCATCTTACTGTTTTATGAGGATTCTTTCAGTCAACCCACCAGTATTTATTCTCTAATTAATATGCTTCAGGCATTGTTTTAGGTGCTAAAGATAAAGATGGTGAACAAAAGAAAAAAAAAAATCCCTGTGTGCATGAAACTTATTCTGGAGGAGTCAGGAAAATAAACCAAAAAAGTATAAAGCAACAAACGAACAATAACTATATACATATTTAAATTATATGTATATATTATATATATTACGTATGTATGTATGTCTGCATCTGTCTATCATCTATCTATCATGTATCTATCTATCATCTATTTATCTATCATGTATCTATCTCTATCATCTATCTATCTATCTATCTATCTATCTATCTATCTATCTATCTATCTATCTATCTATCATCTTCATCATCATCATCATCTATCACTATATCCCTCTATCTCTCTATCTACCTAAATTTGTAAGTAAGTATTTGTGAATAAAAACAAAGAAAATGGAGAAACATGTGCCAGAGTGTTATTTATTTGGGGTGGTCTGTGAGGGTTTTTCTGAGAAGGCCATGTTTAAGGAGCGGCCATATGAAATGAGGAAGGCAGGCCCATGAATAAGTAGGGAAACATGTTCCTGGCAGAAGGACTATCAAGATAGACGGCCGTAAGCCCTGGCCAGTGTGGCTCAGTTGGTGGAGCATCGGCCCATGCACCTAAAGGCCTCAGTTTGATTCTGGATCAGGGCACATTCCCGGGTTTCAGGCTCGATCCCCAGTGGGGGCATGCAGAAGGCAGCCGATCAATGTTTCTCCACATGGATGTTTCTCTCTCTCTCTCTCTCTCCCCCCCTCTCCCTTCTTCTCTCTCTAAAATCAATAAAAACATATTTTAAAAAGATAGAAGACCCTGAGCTGGGATTAAATGAGACTATACAAATAAAGATTTGGCAAAGTTACGGCACAAAGTGAGCTGCCATTAATGCTACCACGAATGTTGCTACAGTAACCATCTCCACCACTGTGGTAATAAAGTTGTAATAAAGGAGCTAAGAACTGACTTCTGACTGCTATCTCAAGATCCTGGCATAGGTGTCTTCCACTCCCCATTCCCATGGAACCCCAGGGGGAATGCACACCACCCATCCACCCCTCCTCCTCCAGCTCACAAATGTCCCTCCCTCCTGCCCATCACACCCTGTCCATGAAGGTTTCTTTTTAAAAAAGTTTTTATTGATTTTTAAAAGAGAAGAAAGGAAAGGGAGAGAGAGAGAAAGAAACACCGATGTGATCGGCTGCCTCCTACAGGTTCCCTCCTGGGGGATGGCACCCCAACCTGGGCATGTGCCCTGACTGGGAATTGAACCAGGGACCTCTCAGTGCCTGGGATGACGCTCAACCAACTGAGCCACACCGGCCAGGGTTAGGAAGGTTTCTGAGGTCTGCTACATGGTGACCCTCGAGGATTGCACCTACTTTTCCCTCCATCCCCCAAAGACAGCACCCAGAACAGGGCTCTGCACACAGTATAGAACTGGTGCTGACAATCAGGGCCCCTCAGCCCAGCGTCTCCTTCCTCCCTCCTCAGATTGAGAGTGGCCTTGTTTTGGTCTGAAACAAAAAGTGGAAGTGGCCCCAAGGATTTGGGCCCTAATAGACTCATAAACCCTTTCCTATCCTGGACAAACCTTTGTGGTTCTTTAGGTGGGTTCAGCCAAGAGGAAGGAGGCCTTACTATATTTTCTTCTAGATCATTTTACAACCTAATTTCTTCCCTTCTATCCTTCTTCACTGATATCATCTGCTCCCAGATTATTTCCCTCCTATCCCTGTTCCCTGCCAGCTCTTACTGCTTTCTCTATAAGCCAAGTTCTGCTTCAGCACACATTTCAATTCCACAATTTGGGAGTGTAGAAAGTATTCAGTATAGACATCTGAATTATGGAAGGGATTTCTTTTTTCATAAAGAAATGCAACTTTATTATTTTCAAGTACATATGTAGTGCCTCAAACTAATGTCTTATAAAAGGTCACCAAGTAAAGGTCTTGCAGATGTTTCTTTAACAAACACATAAGAATTGATGATAATTAGCCCATACACTCACTACTTCTAAATGGAGATCGCTAAAGTGCTTGAAAAGGGTTGTTTTAGGCATTCTAAATATGCCACCCTTAGCAATATTGTTTATGTTCTTAATTTACTAAACAAATGCCTTTGTATTGATTGTGCGAAGATAATCTATTATCCACAGTCAATAAATCTCAGATTAATCAGGCCCAAATCGTTGTGGTTTCCCACTTAGTTTTCCAAGCCCAAGGCAATGACTTTCTATTTAAAGGTGTTTCTGATAAAGTAGAATTCCACTGTAATAAAGTAACAGACGTGGGAGGTGGCGTATGGTCTTGACCTAAAGTTTGTGTTTTATGCTTCCTTCCTTTCTGCCTTAGGTCTCGCATTTTCCTTAGGTGTCTCTCAATTGCTTTGTTCATCTAGGTCTCTCTACAGGACGTTCCCAATGCCTTCTAAGCCAGCCTTGAAGAATGGGCAGAGCTGCCTACGGAGCAGAAGTGCTAGGTGGGGAGGGGGTAAGGGGAGGAAAAGTATCTCCCGTAGGAACTGGAAACCAATTGCTCATCTTAGGGAAACTGGGCACAATGAACATCTGCATGAAGGGCATTTGCCTGGAGGAATAGCTCTGCTGACCGAGAGGTCAAAGGCAGGTCTAGTCCTTTCTGTCTGGCCCAGAGGTCTCACCATGTTGGTGACCTAGGCTGATTCTGCATGTCCCTTGAAGACAGGAAGGTTCTGGGAACCTCTCCACCCCAATGCCAGCTGTTGGCTAGGGAACTCCTGGCTTGGCAGTGCCTAGGAATAATGCAGGTTCATCAGCATGGGCATGAAGGGGAAGGGGGTGGGAGGGGCAGGGAATGAACTGGCAGCTGTCCCCTCAGAACAACATGGAGCTTGGAGTTCTTAGCATTCTGAAGGGCGGGTGTTACCAAGTGCATGTGAGTGAGAGTGCTGGGGCACCTGTGACACCTGGGCTTCATGGGCCGAACAGCCGGCCAAGCAAGGGCCGGTGGGAACTGTGACACACGGGTGGGATCTCAGTGAAGTTTCCTGACTGCCTTCTGGTCCCGCCTCTGCTGCTGCTCTGATGACATTGAATTTGGCCTGCCGGCAGGGCACTCTAAAAGAGCAGGACACAGGGCTGGAGCCTAGACGTCTACCTGGAGATTCCAGACATCAAATGCCTGGTCACTGATCTCTCTTTCCTTCCTTGTGTCTCTCCCCTTGTTGTTTGCCTCCCCTGCCATACCCTAACCTCTCACCCCCCTGTGATGCCCGGCTCCCCTCTAGAGGTTCCTAACTGGCCTTGACTGGGAGACAGGCCAGCTTCTCAACCAGCTTCCCTTTCTGGCCTCAACAGGAGGAACCGCTTGTGATTTCTAGGTCAGAGGGGAAGGCGGGGGACAGAGTTGGGCAGGAAGCAAGAGGAGTGAAGGTGGGAAGTGGGGTATGGCTGGAGACATAAAGAGACATTGGTGACCTGAGACCTCGTCCTTCCTCCTGGCTAGAGGTGTCCCTGCCTTTAGATGTTGATCTGTTCTAGTGAGCGGTGGGGGCAAAGGTACAGGGAATGGGGAGGGCGGGAGTAACCTTCAGTTCCTCATAAAAACAGACAACGTGGTGGAGTGGGATGGAGCAGGATCTGGGGAGGGTGTCTAATCTGGCTGTTCAGAGTTAGGTCTCTGGGGCAATCACCTCAAGATTATTTACCTGCTCCCCCCAATGTAGCCTGCTAAATTGCCTCATTCTCTCTCCCAAATCTTCCCCTAAAGCCACCCCAGTTTTTCTCCCTCCCCATCACCATCCCTGCAACTCCTCCAGGGCACCCCATCTTTCCCGTGCCTGGTTCTTCTTTCCAGTGGGCTCAGTAGTATGTCTCCTTTTCCACCCAGCCTGTTAGAGAGATTGGGGGTGGGGGTTGCAAGGTGAGCGTGAAAAGAGGCATCAGGGTTTGGGTGGTTGAGGCCAATTGGATAGGAGCCTGGGGAAGGGGACTGAGGTAAGAAACTGTGGGCAGGTGAAAAGGGAGGGGGGAGAAAGCCCAGTGAGCTGGGGTCATAGATTAGTGGAAAAGAGAGACTTATACTTGATGAAGTAGAGGGTGGGCATAGAGTAGTTGGGGGTGAAATTCCTAATTACTACAGTGGCTATTCAGGTAACAAATGAGTTTCTAAAGGGGCAGCCGTCTATTGTTGCTGAGCAGAAATGTGGTCATGGGTTGGTAACTCTTGTAATTTTTCAGGAGAAGTCAGAAATTCGGATTTTATGTGAAAGCCCCCAAGTTTTCAATATTGGGCAGTTAAAAACACACACCCGCGCAATACAGGGCAGGCCAAATCAAGCATTATCCATGGACTCCATTTGGCTTATAGGCCTTCCTTTTTCAACCTCCAGTAAGTGATCAAAGTACTTGTTGGGGGAAAAAGACTTGGTTGATGCCTGGGAATCAGGAGGCTGTGGTTCTAGGTCGGTTGTCCTTTATGAGCCTGAACAAATAATTCACCTCTGCACCTTTCTTTGTCTGTAAAATGTGGAGGTGGGGTAGATGACCTCAAGGGCCTTTCTAATTCTAATGTGTTGTGATTCCAGGTGGAAGGTGCAGGGCCTCGGAGGCCAACTGTGTGTTGAGGGGGTGGGGGACCAGGATCTGAGAGAAAGCGGGTGCGGAGGACAGGTCCAACAGGTCAGGGCCCCCAGGACCTGGGATCCCGGGATCTGAAGGCACAGCAGTTGAACTGGAGTTTGGGTTGGGATCCCTGGAGGGGTAGCTAGCAGTGGGGGTTGCATTTGGGAGAGTTGGGGTGAGGTGAGCGATGCTTACCGCCAGGATATCGCCTCAGGATGAGCTTTCGGACCTCATCATAGATGAAGATGAGGAGACTGTAGGGGACGGCACAGAACCACCAGGTGACCCTGAAAGAAGCAGGGGAGAGTGTTAGGAACATTAGAGGCTGGGTATGTACAGGAGGACTTGAATAGACCAGAACTTGGATCCTAGAATGTGCCCTTTTATTTTACATTTATTTATTTAAGAGAGAGAGAAGCATTGATTTGTTGTTTCACTTATTTATGCATTCATTGGTTGACTCCCGTATGTGCCCTGACCTGGGATGGAACCCACAACCTTGGTGTTTGGGGCCAACTGAGCACCGGGCCATGCTAGAAGGTGCCCTTTTAAAGAAACACTCACTTGAGTGGGTACATACGGAGGGCCACACCCATGCCTGGGCAGTAGGATAGAAAGGCAGCCAGCGCTGTCTCTTCCAGGAGCCCAAAAATCAAAATCTTGTTCCTGGAAAGGCAAAGAAAGGAGGGTAAGTAGCATTTGAAGAGAGGACAAGGAGGGAGGGATCCAGGGAGACCCCTGGGGGTGGAGAGGAAAGAACTGTGAGGGAAGGGTCCTGGCATCTTCCTGTGCCCTCTGCAGACACCTCATGGTGTGTAACCCAAGAAAGATTTTCTTTAACTTTTATGCTTACTCATTTTACCCTATTGTTGTCTATAACACATACATTCACTCATTAAATAAATGATTCTCATGTGTTGGGTGATGGGCTCTGTTCTGGAGATGCCACGTGCAACGTAAGCTTCCTTCTGGAGATATGGGGCCTGCCCGTAGGCAGCTTATAATTTTGTTATTGCTCCAGGAAAGTGGTCTGTGAAAGTGCCATCTCCCCAGCGAGATGCCATGAAAGCTCCTTCAGTTCAGGGCCCACTTATGTCTTCTACATTCTCAGTGTCTCCTACAGCCCCGGGCAGCTGTTAGTTATAGGTATACAATAAAGCAGAGAACACTGTCAGAGGGCAAGCTCATTGGAGAGTAGGTGCTTAATGTGTGTTTACTACGTCGGAACTGAAAAGCAAAATACAATAAGGTTCTGAGGGCAGTTTCTGGAGTCAGACAGTGGCATCTAGTTCCAGAGCTGCCACTTACTAGCTTTTGGCTATAAGCAATGTTTCTTGTCTTCTCTGAGCCTGTGTTCCTTCTGTGTAAAATGAACGTATTATCTTTATTTTATAGGATTGCTGGGACAGTCATGGGAGGTAATGTGTAGAGAGCTCCCGAACATGGAAAGTGCTCAGTCATATTATTACTCAACCTTTTATAACCTTGTGCACATGACCTCTTTATGGTTTAAGCCAGTGGTTCCCCAACTTTCCACTCATTAAGGACCCCTTTTATTTTTCTTCTATAAAGGCCACATTTTAATTGATGTTTGTCTCCCAAGCTGCATTTGTTAATAATTAGTGACTATATTTCCCCATTTAAAATTAATTAGACATACCCAGCTTCCAAACAGAACTACGCATGAGCATGCGATCACTATACTTCATACCTGGCTCCTGCCTAAGAACAACCGTTGGGGGGCCTAGGAGCGTTCTCACGGAAGAGGGCTTGATTTCCATAAAGCGTTCTGAACAATGGAAATAGTACCTCTGCGGACCCCTGAGGGCTCAGGGAATCCACGTGGGCCTGAGGAGCTGAGGCTGCCTCTGGTCAGGTGACTTGCTGGTATACTCCCCTGTACCCAGCCTGACTTTTGTTTTCTTTCCATTTGCCTCTTGGTTGGTGGGATTTAGCCAGTTGCGTTCCCAGCTCCCTGTGCCCCCATGCACTGCACACTGAGTCCCAGCCCAGAGCTGTACCCAGTTTCTTGGACTCTGCTCTTTGCTCTCTTCTCACTGCATTTTCCTGTTAGTGTTTTTAGCTCACTGGAATCGCCTTCCTTCATGTCATCTTTATTTATCTAACAGAATTTTCACTTTTCTCTCCCTGGGATCTTAAATGCTATTAACTTCACCAGGGTTTTGGCATTTTTATTTTTGCCCCTTACTAAGAAATTGTGACAAAGCTCGTCTGGGAACCTGTGCTCATCATTTGAAGTGGAAGGAATTAAAGAGGAGTGATACCTTCAGCACTTAGCACCAGCCGTGCTATGCACAGAGCAGTTACTGAGTTCCTTCCAGGTGCCAGACTGTGATAGGTGAGCCACCCCGTGCAGTGGCCAAGGGCCTGGGCTGTCGAAGCTGACCTGCATTAACCCATCTGGGTCACCTCAGGCACGCCATTGAAAATTTTGGGGGGTCTCATCCACATATTGAAAGTAATACTTCCTCATAGAGCCACTGTGAGGTTAAACACTGTCTTTGAATCCCTTACCTCAGTGACTGGCACATGCTAACTCAGACCATAAGAAGACATTGAACCTGACCCTGAGCAGCTCATAGACCCCACAGGATAACACCGTTACTACAGGCAGCTGCTATAAACTAGGGCTACTGTGAGTGTGGGGAACACAGGATTCCCTGTATTTAAAGCTGTGCAAAGGATGGGGGGTGTCACTAGAATACAAGATAGAGGAAGGAAGGAAGGAAGGAAGGAAGGAAGGAAGGAAGGAAGGAAGGAAGGAAGGAAGGGAGGGAGGGAAGAAGGCATAGAGAGAAAATGGGAAGGAAGGTGGAAGGAGGCCTTAACAAGTACATTTTAAGAACAGAATAAAACATCAGAAACGGTCCTATCACCCCTTCTTCTCTCATCTATTTAGACATGACTATGGGTATGCAGCTGAGGGAGCCGTGTGAGCCCCTCTGCCTGGGAGGCGGTGCCAGGGGGAGGCGCTCACTTCATGCCCTGCTGGAAGACCGAGTTGCGGCGGGTCTTGCAGATGATGAGGTCGGCCCACTGCACCACCACGATGCTGGCAAAGAAGGCCGTGTGGCAGGTGAACTCCACCACCTTGCGCTGCTCATAGGTCTGGGGGAGGGCGGCAGAGAGGCAGCATTGTTAAACCCTGGGCACCGAATCCACGCTTAGCCCCAATCCCACCTCTGCCAGGCGTTTGGACCCCCTCGTATACACGTATGTCCGCAGGTACACAGCCCCACTCACCCACTCCTGTCCATAGCTGTCCTCCAGGTCGTTTGTGGAGCGGTCGTCCCAGTCGAGGCGGATCCCCAGCAACCGTGATGGCAGGAAACCGTTCTCTGCCAGGATCACGAAGTAGGTGAAGAAGCCGCCCAGTGCCTGGATCATCCCTGTGGGTCGTGGGCAAAATGTAGCGCCTGGGTCAGAGAAGGAAGCTGGAGGGGGCCAGCACCGACAGGCCAGAGGAGGATATCCCTGACCCTGGGGGAACTGGCCCCTGTCCTGGACTCTGGGGAAAGAATCCTCTTGGGTTCCCTCCCGAGCCCCAGGGCCTCGCCACACCGATTTGTCCATAGGCCATGCTGATGAGCCTCTCGTTCACCAGCTTGTCTGTCCTCGGGTTTCTCGGTTGCCGCTTCATGATGTCACTCTCAGCGGCCTCATAGGCCAAGGAGATGGCGGGGACCTGTGTGCAGTGGAGAGTGGGGGGAGAGGGGTGGAAGGGAGCCTTGTGCCTGTCCTCTCTTCAGGCAGCATGGCCCGGTCAGCTGCTTTGGTTCGTCTCTCTCTCCACCTGCTGCCCACCCCTGCCCACCCCTGCCCACCATGCCCACACGGCTGCCTTGCCCGTCCCCTCTCCAGCCGTTGGCCTCACCATGTCAGTGCCCAGGTCGATGCAGAGGATGGTCACGGTGCCCAGCGGCAGGGGAATGTTGACAATGATGAAGAGCAGGAAGGGGGTGATCTCGGGGATGTTGCTGGTCAGGGTGTATGCGATGGATTTCTTCAGGTTGTCAAAGATGAGGCGGCCTGTGGGAAATTTGGGGGACATGAGGGAGATCAGGGGGACTGTTCCCGACCCCTAGCCACGGAAGTGTGGCTGCCTGACTTCCTGAGAGAGGACGATTTTGTGCGTGAGGGAAGCTAATGCCCGAGGCAGACGCCTGGCATCCCGAGCTGGCTCTGTGGTTGGGGTAAAAGGCACGGGAAGTAGGTGTGCGGGCATCAGTTGCCCGGGGTGCCCCCACCCGTGGCCTCCTCACCCTCCTCCACGCCCGTGACGATGGAGGCAAAGTTGTCGTCCAGCAGGATCATGTCGGCTGCCTGCTTAGAGACGTCCGAGCCTGAGATGCCCATGGCTATGCCGATGTCCGCCTTCTTCAGCGCCGGGGAGTCGTTCACGCCGTCTCCCGTCACCGCCACGATGGCTCCCTGGGACAAGGTACAGCCAGGATGCAGGGGGAAGGCCCCCACGCGGGCCCAGCTCTGCCGGGGGCCGCCTGCTCACCTGCCTCTGACAGCCCTCCACTATGATGAGCTTCTGCTGTGGGGACGTCCGAGCGAAGACGATCTCCGTGTGATTCCTGAGGATCTCGTCCAGCTGCTCCGACGTCATGTCCTTCAGGTCCGAGCCGTGCACCACACACGCCTTGGCCTCTCTGGAGGGCGGGCAGGGCGCTGATGCCTGGCCTCGCCCGGCTGCCCTCCTGACAGCGCTGGGCCTCCAGTCTCGCCCAGGCCTCCCCCTCCTCTCCCTCAGGCTCAGTGGCCTGTTTTCCCCGTTCCTCTCCCCGAGGAGATGATGCCAGATCCTCACCACATGCATAATCAGTCGGTACAGTTTCCTAGGCTCGCACTCATTCCCTTATACGTATTTCATAGCTATAGCCACCCTGCGGTGTAGGTAGGATCTTAATTTTGTAGTTGAGAAAATGGAGGCCCATGAAGGTAAGGTGACATCTCCAAGGTTACACAGATGAACAGGGACACAGCCTGGCCACCCTCAGGACTGAGGAACCAGAGGAAAGGCCTATAAAGGTCCCAGAGGTGCTATCCCGATACCCCCATTGGACTCAGGCACCCTGTGGGAGAGAATGGGCTGCTTGGGGACAGGGGTTCCTGCAAAGGCCTCGCCTCACCTGGGGTTGACTTGACTGACGGGGATGTTGAGCCGGGCTGCAATGTCCTCCACAGTTTCATTGCCCTCTGATATGATGCCCACGCCTTTGGCAATGGCCTTGGCTGTGATTGGGTGGTCCCCGGTCACCATGATCACCTGGTGGGAAGGAGAAAGGAGAAAAGAGAACAGNATGCCCACGCCTTTGGCAATGGCCTTGGCTGTGATTGGGTGGTCCCCGGTCACCATGATCACCTGGTGGGAAGGAGAAAGGAGAAAAAAGAACAGAGAACATCACAACAGTATTAAGCCCCTCCCCGTGTGCCAGCCTATTCCCTTCCTAAAGTCAGGAAAAGGCAGGTGGTGGGGCTCGTAGATCCCAGCCAAAATAACAGAAGTGTGTGTGTGTGTGTGTGTGTGTGTGTGTGTGTGTGTGTGTGTGTGTGTGTTTGAATGAGTGGGTCAGGGGGAGAGACAATGACAATTTGTGTTCTGAGAGTTAGAGATAATCTGCTTAAATGGGGGAGAGCTGCCATGACAGAATAACATGCTAATGAGGGTCCCTTGGCAGAGAAACCTCAAAGATTGTTTAGGAGTTTGGATTTCATGGGATATGAGGCTGACAGAGCGGGCAGGGCCCTTAACAGCTTCCTCCTGTTACCTAGGAGGAAACAAAGGCTTAGAAAGGACCTGTGATTTGCTCAAGGTCACAGGGAGCCAGAACTAGGACGTGGTTTTCTTAGTGTCGAAGATGATTGCTGCAGGGCATCTAACTGGTGGTCAGAGTAAGGGTGACAGGGGAACAACCCTCCTTCCCACTCCCCTGACATTCCTCCATGATGCGGGAGGAAAGCGATTCCTGCCCTACTGGCCATGCTCATTGCGTTTCAGAATGGATGGAGTTGGGTGCGGCGGGTGGTTGGCATCTGAGAGGTTGGTTAAGAGGACATTATAAGTATAAGGTGGTCAGAGCCAGGTGAGGATATAGCATTTGCATGTGTGGGTTATGGGGCAAATCACACAGATACTAAGAAGGAAGCCTGTCCAGGCCTCACTGCCTTATCTTCCACCCCTAACACTCCACTGAAACTGCGCCCCAAAGGCTGCATGGGCCTTACAGTTGAAAAACAATGAATGGCATCTTTGCAGTCCTCTCCTTGACTTACTTTGAGGCATTTGGCATTGTTCCCCACCCCTCCTTAAAACCTTCTTCTCCTGTGGCTTCCTCCGACCCTTTATTCCTGACTCCTCTCCACCCTCCGCATGCACTTTCCCACCCTCTTCAGGGAGGCAGCTGAGAAGAGTGGGAGAAGTGGCTTAGGAGTCAGAGGCTTCCTAAGTGTAAATGCTGACTTTCCCCAGCTCTAGGACCTTAGGCCTTCACTGAGTCTCAGCACATGGAGAAGACGAGCTCTACCTTTCATAGTTGTCATGAAGAGTAGGTGACATGACATTAGGTGGACGCTCAATCAATGCTAGCTGTGCCTTATCACCCTCTTCCCTGGGTCACTGGTTCCTATTCCTCTACCGGCCCCTAAGTGTTGGTGTGGCCCAGGGTCCCATTCTCCTACTTTGTCATGACCCATCCTCTTTTCCTGGGCAATAATAGTAAACATTACAATTCATAATTATGAAGAGTTTAACTGGATTCAAATCTCCAGTCCTGACCCTCTTTCTTGAGCTCCAAACCACATTCCAACTTTCCCTGAAACATCTCTCCCTGGGTGTCTTATAGAGTCTTTGAAGGTAAGGTCAAATTGAATTAATTATGTCTACTTTCACTACCCCCACCAAGCCTGCTTCTCTACTCCCTACCTTAGAAACCATCTTTCATTCATTCAGGCCTTTTGCCTCCTATATCTTCCTCACCTCCCATAACCAGTTCAGTCACCAACTTCTCGAATCATTTTTTGAATGTAACGACTCCCTTTGTCATTGCCTTTGTTCAGGTCATCATCCCTTGCCTGAATGAAGGCAATAGCTTCTTGCTTATCTCCCTGACTTTAGTTCTTCTCCAAGTCTAGGTCTTCCTCCATCTAGAAGCTAGATTTGTCCTGTGACAACTGTGGCTCTGTGGGCCACAGGATAAAGCCCAAGTCTGGCATTTAAGCAAAGGGTACACACTGTTCCCTGCTCTTGACATGCCTTCCTCTCCCTCACAGCCTTACAAAATACTTGTCAACCTTCGAGGCCCAGATCAAATATCATGCCCTCTGTAAAACATTGTCCAGTTCCCTGACCCAGAATTAACTGTTCCCGGCTCTGACTTCCCATGGAGGGACTTTCCCCAGGCCTCTGTGATAGTTCTGATTATGGCAAGAGGCAGTCTAATGAGCAGGGAGCAGGTGCCTTCCAAAGAAGCAGACCATACTTGATAGAGCCAACCCACTTCTTTTTTTTTTTTTTGAGCCAACCCACTTCTTACTAACAGATTTATTGGGGAAAGCTCCTTACCCACGCTGAGCCTCAGCTTGTTTCATTTTTAAACGGGGGTAGTGAAGTCTACCTTAGAGACAGAGTGGTATGAGGTTCAGAAATCACATATATACACCCATATACAGACAAGTCCTCTAGTGTGATGGTTGAGAAATAGCAGATCCTGGTTCAAATCCTGGCCCTACCACTTAGTAGCTGTGTGGTCTTGGGCATGTTACTTGGTGTCTTGGTCACTCTTTGTAAGAAATGAAAAATACTAGGGTTTACTTATAGGATTGTTATGAAGGTTAAATGAGATTATATAAGTTTAGTGCTACGAGTGGTGCCTGATTCATATAAAGTCTCACAAAACAATTGGCTGTTTTTATTATTAGAGTAACTGACCTATAGTAAGTGCTCAACTATTATGATTGTTCTGTGGTTAGTTGTAAAGTCATTCACTTCCCCTGAGAGACCATGAACTCTGGGGGCCAGGCTGTATCTTACTCAACTTTGAATCCCCAGTGCCTAGTGCAGTACCTGACCCTCAGTAGCCGGGTAGAGTTGAACTTGTATGGTAATAGGTGAGATGCTGGAAACAAGAGGAGGAAGCAATGGCGCCCTACCAGGTGAGTCGCTAGGTTAAGGGAGGCGTTAAAGTGCTGTATCTTTGAAACAGGAAAGAAAGCTCCAAGAGAGAAGGGATTTATGTTGGCTTGTTTGTTGAACTCCAGCACCTCGAACAGTGCCTGGTACATAGTTGGTAAACAATAAATATTTGTTAAATGAAGAATACTTGCAGCACCAAGGAGGGAGTGACCATTGAGAAGCAACTGCAGTTGGACAAGAAAACATGGGAGAGGGATGCTAAGTGGAATGAGTGCTCGAACCAGTCTGCAGGATTCGGGGTGGGGGGAGTGAGTGGGTGCAGAGAGGAGCCTGCTAATCCCATTCTAAATGGCTAGAGAGTGTGGGCGGCNTGGTACATAGTTGGTAAACAATAAATATTTGTTAAATGAAGAATACTTGCAGCACCAAGGAGGGAGTGACCATTGAGAAGCAACTGCAGTTGGACAAGAAAACATGGGAGAGGGATGCTAAGTGGAATGAGTGCTCGAACCGGTCTGCAGGATTCGGGGTGGGGGGAGTGAGTGGGTGCAGAGAGGAGCCTGCTAATCCCATTCTAAACACCTAGAGAGTGTGGGCGGTAGTTGGGAGGAGTATCGACACCCATATCCCCAAGATAAGGGTGCCAGATCAGCTTGACATCAGAACAGAATGAGCCATGCCAGGGAGCACTCTGAGCACAAGGGACAGGGTGAGCTCTCCAAGGCCGCTTGCAGATGACAGCTTCAGGGTGTGGCAGGAGAGGGGAAAGGGGAAGAAATGAGGCCGGTACCTTGATGCCTGCACTCCGACACTTGCCCACAGCATCAGGCACAGCAGCCCGGGGAGGGTCAATCATGGACATGAGCCCCACGAAGCAGAGCTTCTCCGTGGGAAAGTTCAGTTCGTCCGTGTCAAATTTGAAGCCGCGAGGAAACTTTCCAGAGGGCAGGTTCAGTTGACAGAACCCTGAAGGGGGGCAGAAGTGAGGATTGAGAGCAGCAAGGTGGCTGCCTGAACACCCCTAAGGCCCCTCACCCTAGGAAAACCATTGAGGCTTGGGAATCCCTTTCTCAGCCCCGCTCCTTGCTTTGGACCCTCACCCAGTACTCGCTCCCCCAGTCCCCCCAGCTCCATGTAGGCGTTCTGAAAGGCGTCTTGCATCTCCTTGTCTAGAGGGATCTCCTTGCCCTGCACCAAGATGGAGGAGCACCGATCCAGGATGCGCTCTGGGGCCCCCTTCATCACCAGCACGTGGCTCTGGGGGCTGTCTTCTCGCTCATGGATGGACAGCTGGAGAGAAGATGGGCAGTTACAGAGGGGCCATAATAGTCTTATCAGCTCCAATGCCCAGCATGGGGCCTAGGACAGAGCAGAGGCTGGTAAGAAACCCTCCCTTAATAAAATAACCCCTGACCCGTCAGCCCATGTCAGCATAGAGACAGTCTTTGTGTGTGGAGAGATGTTTGGACCTCATAGTCCCAACCCTGTAACCTGAGAGTCACCTTCCCATGGGACATTCATTGACTCAACAAATAATATATTAAGATCAGCTAAGACAGGCACTGCACAGGGGCTAGGTGGCTCGCTTGTCAGCATTCCCACCTCTATACTGGTCTCAGTGGGGCTTTACCTCTGTGGCCTACACGGACGTAGCTGAGACTGTGTTCTTGGCATTTAACAGATGCCTACAGGCTGAGGGATGCTCTAAGGGAATTCCAGAAGTATGTTTCAACTTCTGAAGTGTGATGAAGGGTTGAGTGTGATGAAAGGGAGCCAGAAGATGGGGCGCTCTGGGAAGGAGTCAGGAGGGTTGTGGTAAGGAGTGAGGGTTTGGGAGCTAAGGGGTAATGGCAACTAGACGTGTGGTCACCCAAGTTGTCCAGGGGAATAAGGCAGGGGTGGGAGGACATGATGCTCAGATGTCCCCACTTCTCACGTTGATGACTCCCCCTTGGCTTTGTGCACCCCTCGTTTCTGTCCCTCCCCTTCCCCCCTCCCAGTTTGCTGACCAGACCTGGTACTTGTTGGTGGAGTTGAAAGGAATCTCCGCCACCTTGGGGTTTCTGTCCCTCATCTTCCTCACGGAGCCACAGGACAGCTCGATGCACTTGAGCAGAGCTGACTCGGAGGCGTCACCGGCTGTGTCACGCTGCCGGAAGAGATTCCAGTGTTACAGTGGGGCCGGAGAAAGATGGAGGCCAAGGGCAGGGGGACTGAAGGCTTGGAGGCCGCCACAGGGTGTGAGGGGGGAAGCTGGGCATCAGCAAAGTGGACAGGCCATGGAGACACCCCTGACCTCCTACCTTAGACACAGAGATGTTCTCCTGCCCGGCCTTGAAGACGGCACGGTTGCAGAGGCCGGCAATCCGGGACAGGGCCGTCCATGTAGGGGACCGTTTGTCAAAAGTGGCTCCTGGGAGGAAATGAGGGAGAACCGGGAGCTTGGTTCCCCTTTAGAGCCCTATCTCTCTCCACCCACTCTGCCGCCACCCAGTGTCCTGGACACCCTCCAGTCCCCTTCACCCCTCTGGGGTGCCCAATCACCAGACTGGTCTTCGGTGGTGTCAGCCTCATGGATCTGGTTGTCAAACCACATGTGGGCGACGGTCATACGGTTCTGGGTGAGGGTGCCCGTCTTGTCAGAGCAGATGGTGGAGGTGGAGCCCAGCGTCTCCACCGCCTCCAGGTTCTTCACCAGGCAGTTCTTCCTCGCCATGCGCTTGGCTGTCAGCGTCAGACACACCTGGGAGAAAAAGAATGAAAAAGGGCCAAGCCTGAGCCAGAGATGTCTATGGCCTTACCCCAGAGCACAGCTCTATCCCTCCTCCCTTGATCCTACTCCACAAACATGAGTGGGACCTAGGTGTGAGCAGCTGGACCGAGATCATGGGTGTATATTGAGGTGAAATGACCAGTACGTAGTTGAAGACATTTGTCTACGGCTCCAAAGAGGGCCAGAGTAGAGCTGGGGGTAGGGATGTGAGAGTCACCCACACAGAATGAGTGCTGAAAACTGGGCTCACTTAAGTGTGTAAGGAGAGCAGAGAGCTGAGGCCTGAGACACAGTTTTGGGGAGGAGAAGACCCTGCTGGGGACAGAGGAGAGGAGAATCAGGATAGTGACATGTCACAGTGATCAGCGAAGGAGAGGATTCTAGGCAGGTGGACAGCAGTATCCATTTCAGTGGCAGAGTTAAGGACAGGAGCTGAGAAAAGGTCACTGGATTTGCTAGGCAGTCACCGGTGACCTTTGAGAGAGCTTTTACAGAAGAGTTGGCCAAGATGAGCTCCAGACTGCAGGCAGCAGGTGAAGAGTGCACAGGCGGTGAGATGAGGCTAGGACGAGCTCTGGGGGAGACTGCGTGCCAAAGTACAGCCCAGCCTGAGGATTTTCACACTCGGCCTCTGAGCCATGTATTAAATGACCTTCTTCAGACTCACACTCTAAGCCATGTATTACATGAGAATCTGATGTGATTTTAAGGGTTGGCAGTGAAAAAGTTGCTGAGAAGCAATAAGCCTCTATCACTTTTGAGGAAAGGGTAGCAAGACCCTCCCCTGGTGGCACCTAAGCCTGACCACTCACAGTGACAGTGGCCAGCAGACCCTCAGGCACGTTGGCCACGATGATGCCGATGAGGAAGATGACTGCCTCCAGCCAGCTGTAGCCCAGGATGAGGGAGAGCACAAAGAAGGAGACGCCCAGGAACACAGCCACTCCTGTGATCAGCTGGATGAAGTGTTCAATCTCCATGGCTATAGGGGTCCGCCCAACCTCCAGGCCTGAGGCCAGAGTGGCTATGCGGCCCATCACCGTCCGGTCACCTGTGGCAATCACGATGCCCCTGGCAGTGCCTGCAACACAGGAGGAAACACCAGGCTGGGTGCCTTGGGTCCCAGGAACTGAAGTTCTGTCCTGCTTCCTGAGAAAGGAAAACCACCCCAGAGTAAATGAACCAAAGGGCCTGCTCCAGGAGTTTCAGTAGATTATACCTCACTTGGCTTAATCTTCCTGCCTAAATCGCCAACCCCAGACTCAGCACAACAGCAAATTATTTTCTCTTACACTTGGGCCTGTGGAAAGGGCTTGCAAATAAACTCAGCGTTCAAATTGAAGAGATTCAATAAGTGAAACAAAAATATTGCCTGCAGTAAGTACTTCAATAAAATCAGCTCCTACTTGTTATCCAAAGTATATCATGAACACAAAGTAAGGCACTTATTATGGATTTTCCATGTAATCTTAGGATTATCTTTCTCAACATGAGGCATGAATCTCCATAAAAGAAGCCAGGCAATTACTGACCCTTATGTAAACATTAGAGGGGCCTGCAGGGGAGGAAGGGCAGGACAGGGGTAAGAGCATGCATGTTGGAGTCAGCCACACTTGAGTTTGAATCCTTGTTTGAGTTCCTACCGAGGATTGTTTTAATAATTAAATAAGCTAGTGCTCTAATACACCTAGACCATGCCCAGCACATAGTAGGCACTCAACAAATGTTAGTTCCATTCATTTCCTATACTCTGTTCAAAGCCAATTTCAGAGCAAGCAACGAAAATATTTTACTGGGCATTTTTAACAATTTACTAGGCATTTTTAGCATTTTTGACAGTTGTGAGAAATGTAGAGCAAACTTCAGAATCTCAGTACATTAGAAATTTAGGAAATTTAACATGTGTTGATTTTCATTTTAATTCCAACTTGCTGAAAGAAGGGAAAAGCCCAGAGAAGCATATCCAGACTCAGTACAACAGCAAACCCCAGAAAGGGAGGGGGTGGAGGTGGGGTACAAGGCCTTCTGTGGCTTACTTTCTGAGGTCTGTGGCCTGGTCAAGCCTCTTTCTCCCACCAGCTCTTGCCCCCTACTCCCTCTCCGAGTCAACCCTGACTCGGCTCCCTGGCATGACCACAGAGGGCACAGGCTGCAGTTGTACTTGGACTCCAGCCACTAAGTGGTGGCAGCTCTGGGATCTCTCGCTGGCCTTTGGTCATCTCTAAAACTCAGAACAGGGATGGGACAAACTGGGCAGCCTAAGCATGACAATTTCTCTTCTTGAAGCACAGTCCTAGATAGAGCATGAAGGAGGCCCAAGTATCCACTTGACTGGAAGCTTTCCTGCCCTTCCCCCAGCCTGGGGCTCTGGTCAAAGCAAGGGCCAGAGAAGGAGGCAATAAATCCCAAACCCTGGGGAAACAGAGGCTTTGGTCAAATCAAGGGCCCCCAGGAGTAAGGCTGGCTTGGGACGTGTGTGCATGTGAATGTGTGATGTGTGTGTGTAAGCATGTATGCCTGTGTGTGTGATAGGAGAGTGTGAGAGTGTGTAAATGTATGTGTGCATGTGTGTAGGGGCTTGTCTTGGCCCAATACCTAAAGGCTTTGGAACCCATAGAGTGTCAGCGTGGACAGAACAGGGATCTTCCTGTGGGGAGGTCAGTTTTCCACGGAGTCCTGCCATCTCAGCCAATACCCTGCTCTCTGAAGGGGACTGTTTCTGCAGTATTTAGGGGTCCCCCAAATCCTCAATTCCCTCCTCTGTAGCAGGGTTTTTGATGAGTAAGTACAGGCACAGTCCCCAACCCTCACTGGGGGTTCAGGATTCAGACTCCTCCCTCTGGGGGTGGGAGGATGAGGAGCCCTCCACCAGGCTGGCCTCTCACCTTCCACGCAGTTGGTAGAGAAGAAGCAGATATTGCGGGTCTCCAGGGGATTCTCATGGGTAAACTCAGGGGAGCGGGTCTGGGGCTCTGACTCCCCAGTTAGGGATGAGTTGTCCACCTGGGGAGGAAGAGGAGAGGGTGCAGTTATCAGACTGGCAGATGCACTTGTGCACACACAGCTGTCTTCTGACTCCAACTGCACTCAATCTCCATGACACTAGGGACAAAATTACACTTGTCCTCATCACATATTTATAGCATTGCTCAACTATTGTCCCTGAGCTGGTTTGGAATCCTAACTCTTACTAAACTCTTACATGACCTTGGGCTAGTTACTTAACCAACACAGCCTCCGTTCACTCATCTGTAAAATGGGGAATGGAATCAGAATCTATGCATTGTACAATCACAGGGGGCGCCACCAACACTGTGGCTTATGAAAATGGCACTGCCTAAAGTAGCCACATATGACAGCCCTGCATGATTAGACCGTTCTCACAGAGTTGAATTACATGGCATAAAGCATCTGACAATAATTGGTACTCAATACAAGATGGCTATAAAGTAGAGATCAAAGAAATACCCACGGCACAGAGCATTCATCACACACAGATGCTAGGAGACAACGCATAAGCACTATATGTGAGGCAAGGTGCAGCTGGGAGGTATGGGGGTAGGGGTTGGCATTTGGACCTGGTTCTCCCAGCCTTCAAACCTCCAACTGGGTCCCTTTTGGCTCTACACAGCCAGTTGCTCTGGCATGGCCCCCTCACCTTGCAGCCATGAGAAGAGATGATCCGGAGGTCAGCAGGCACGCGGTCTCCACCCTTCACCTCCACCAGGTCTCCCACCACCACTTCCTCCGCATTGATCTGCATCTTCTCACCCTCCCGCACCACGAGGGCTTGCTGTGGGGAAGCCATGGGCATCTCATGAAGTGTTTGTCTCTCCCTGTTTTTTCTCCTGCTGCCTTCCCACCTCTCCTCCAGCCCCACCAAGGAGGAGGAGAAGCCCTGCATCTTGGCATAGAGACCTGGCGGGACTTTTTGCCCAAGCTTCCATCTCAGAACCCAAAGTTGAGAAGGGATGAGCTGGACCCTCCCAGTAACTTTCAGCCCCAGCCCAGAGCCCAGCCTGGCCATCTACCTGTGGAACCATGTTCTTGAAGGAATCCATGATCTTGGAGCTCTTGGCCTCTTGGTAGTAGGAGAAGCACCCAGTGACGATGACCACAGCTGCCAGCACCACGCCCAGATATAGCTGGCAAGACAACAGGGTTTGAGAGACCTGCCCATCTCCCAACCCTAGAGGGGCAACTGTCACATGGGACAAGTGACCTTTGTCTATGACTGGAAGTAAAAATGGTAGAGGAAAGGCCTCTCTAATCTCCCCCTCAATCTTCTAGTCCCAGACATCCTAAGACTGAAAGGGGTGGGGAGAGTCTTAGGAGTTCCCAGGACTAGGACTTCTCTAGGGGGTGAAGAATGAGGGATGGCAGACAAGCCCGCTTAAGTGTAAAGAAACAGAGAGGGGCTTTCTCATTCATGAGTGATTGTGTGTGTGTGTGTGTGTGTGTGTGTGTGTGTGTGTGTGTGTGTGTTGGGGGTGTTTATAGATATGTATAGAAACCTCACCCATTTTCAGCCTAAAGAGCGCTGTGACATGAGGGTCTTGTTCCTTCCCCTCCTCCCCCTAGCTATGCTGGAGATTCGAAGTTGGAGGACAGCCATGGGCTGGTCCAGGGGTCAGGCATTCCAGCTCACATTGTCGTTGGAGGGTTCATCTTCCATGGCAGCCTGGATGCCATAGGCCAGGAAGCAGAGGATGGCCCCAATCCAAAGAAGGATGGAGAAGCCCCCGAAAAGCTGGCGACAGAACTTGACCCACTCTGGGGTTGTCGGTGGTGGGGTGAGGGCATTGGGCCCATCCCGAGCCAAAATGTCCTGGGCCCGCTGGTTGGTGAGGCCCTGAGGGAGGCAAGCAGAAGTGTGGGAGTTTGCATCTGGAACCAATCTGGCCCCTTACCACTTCCCACCTGCTCTTGGTAGGGAATGTCCAGGTGGAGAGGAGAACCCCACCTGGTTGGAAGGGCTGAGGGACCTTCAGGAGAGGCCACATGAAGGAGGTAGTGTTTGCAATGAGTGTCAGAGGCCTTGAAGGCGGAGAAGGATTTTGAGTGTGGCCCCTTCTTTGGTCATCATAGGATTGAGACACATTTTGGGCCACAATAACCTCCCCTGGAGGTAGTCTGGCTAAGGCTCACTGGAAAGACATCCCAATTGGTTCCTCCCTCTCTCTCTTCCTTCAGATTCCCCACTCCACCAAGGATTTTCTTTTTATTACACCAAGGATTTAAGAAGAGTTCTACATTATTGACCACCAGTGTCTCACAGCTTCAGGAGTCACCTATCACTTTCCTGGCCCAGCTTTCCTAGCCCCAGGCTGATTCAAATGCCCCTCTCTGCAGCCCATCACATCCTAGGCATGATTCTAGAGCTGCAACCACCACCTGGCACTGGAATTCTGTGCATTCATTTTTGCTACTAGACTTCGAGATCCTTGAAAGCAGAGGCTACTTTTTACTTATCTTTCTATCTGTCCACTCATTTATTTAATAAGTGTGTATTGAATGTCAGGCTCTATGATCAGCTCTGGGGGTCAGCTCTGGGATTAGCAGAAATAGACAAGGCCCACAAAGTCCCTGCCCTGTGGAGCTTATGATCTAGAGAGGTGACACACAATCAATAGATATTACTGCCAGAGAGTGAAAAGTTACTAAGGTAAAGCAATAGGGGCATAGGATTTTCAAAAGGGCAACCAGGGAAGGCCTGCAGCAGGAGTTTAATTTTCAAAATGATGGGCTTGGCAGCCTGACTGTGCTGCCTACTATTGACGTGACCGTGGGAAGCTGCGCTCCTTCTGAGTTTCCTTGCTCTAAGAAAGAGGTCCACAGCACCTATCCCTCAAGGCTGTTGTAAGGATTAGAAAAATGTATGTAAAGCACTTACCACTTGCTCCATACATAGCAGGGCCCCAACACACTACCGTAAGAATAGTAATAGGTCACTCCACCATTTCCTGTATGTCAGTACCATGCGAGACTGTGCATCACAGAAGCTGCTTAAGGTAGAGAGAGCCCTGCCTGGAGGCCCTCTGGGGCCGGGGTTCTAAGGAGTCCTGGCTTTCGGGTACATAAGAAAAGAGCTATAGATTCTGAAGCAGAAAACCTGGGTTCTAGTTCTAGTTCTGCCATCAATTAGTCATAGGGCCTCAGTTTCCCCATCTGTAAAAAGGGTTGGCTTACAGTTTTAAGGTCCCTTGAACCCTGCCACTGCTTGGTTCTCTCACCAGAGCCCCTTCACTCACCTTGGACAGGTCCACTTGGTATTTACGGCCCAGCTCATCCAAGGACAGTTTGTGGTCATCCTGGGAATGAGAACTGAGTTACTTTGGGGAGGGAGGCTGAGAGTGTGTGTGTTTGGAATGTATGTGAGGCCAATCAGGGGCACAGAGGTGAGGCAAGGAGCACGGGGTGGCAGGGGGAGGGGGGAGGCTGTGGCATGGGCTTCTCTGAGTGCACCAGGCGGCAGGGCAGCTCTCCTAGCTGGGTCCCCTCACCATGGCCACCTCCTTCTTCAGCTCATCCAGCTCCCTCTCTTTCTGTTTCTTCTTGCCGCCTCCATTCTCTGCAGTGGTGGCTGCAGGCGAGTACTCGCGTCCGGCCTGCAGGAAGAGGGGAGAGCCCAGAGAGTCAGGGGGCACAGGGATCGAGCCTCTATTCCCACCTGACAGTGGGGAGCCCTGGCATTGGGAGCGGGGGCAGTGGATTCAAAGCAGTGATGCTCCAGTGGAGGAAAAGGGGGTGGAGGGAACCCCAGGCCCTTAGTTTGCAAACTATTGACAGAGACATGGGGCTTTATGTCTGAATTTCAGGGAAGACTGAGGGGCTCAGGACTCAGGAGCCCACTCTTAGTTGTTTAGTAGTTGGACTTCTGCTAAGATTTTGTTTGTTGAAAGAACCCTGCTGCGCCCTGAAGGGCGTGGCTCAGCGGTTGAGCACTGACCTAGGATCCGGGAGATCACGGTTTGATTCCTGGTCAGGGCACATGCCCTGGTTGCGGGTGGCTCCCCAGTTGGGGGCTTGCAGGAGGCAGGGGATCGNCTCAGCGGTTGAGCACTGACCTAGGATCCGGGAGATCACGGTTTGATTCCCGGTCAGGGCACATGCCCTGGTTGCGGGCTCGCTCCCCAGTCGGGGGCTTGCAGGAGGCAGGGGATCAATGACTCTCTCATCATTGATGCTTCTGTCTCTCTCCCTCTCCCTTCCTCTCTCTGAAGTCAATAAAGATATGCTAAAAAAGAAAAAGGAAAAAAAAAAGAACCCTGCTGCTAAATACAAAACAAAATAAACCAAAACTTTAAAACCACCACCCTACACCACTTAAAATCCTGGAAGGCTGGATTGGAGGTAGGGTGAGTAGAAGCACCTGTAGGGATGTCTTTGTCCCAACATCATGGCTACTTTATCCAGAGAGGAGTGGAGACAGTTAGGAATTTGGGGAGTAAGAGTCTTTGGGGAGCCAGGCTGGGTCAGGGCAGGGAAGTATCTAGAGGGGGATGGGGAGCCAACAGGGCCTGGTGGTAGAAAGTGAAACTAGAATGCGCCAGGCTCATGGACTGAGAGAAGTCGGCAGTTGGAGGGTCAGAATGTGTTTAGAAAATGGAGACATGGAATTTGCTGAGACCCCTCTCCATCCTGCCGGGAAGGCCTTTTGTAGAGGGGATTTGGGCAAGAGGCAATTTGCACAACTTGAGTCCCCAAATCACAACTAGGTAAGACGACACTCTGGCCCCACTTGTCCAAGGAAAAAAAAAAAATCTCTGGGGATAAATCTAAAACTAAAATTCATGTAGCTCTGAGGTCTAGGCATTCTTGGGTCCTCTGGTGAAATCAGGGAAACATTTTAGCAGGAGCCTCCTGAGGCCATTTTCCCTTTGCTCTTCAGCACCTGAGGTCTCCTCGCCACCACCAGACTTCACGGCCTCCTGGGGACTTCTGAGGGAGAGGGTGGGAAATGTCTCCTCTCAAGGGGAGTCTGCCTTGGGGTGATGGGACAAGAAGGGGGTTGGGGAAGGCCTGGGGTGGCCATGGCAGCATCTTTTCCCTTGGTCCTCCCCAGGCCCCTGCCCTCCCCTTCCCTCAGGATAGTCACAGCGCTGCTCAGCTTCTGCCTTATGCTGGGTGTTCAGGGATGAGCTTTTCTAAGCTACGGCGTAATTTGTTTCTTTTCATAAGGAAGGGATACCTGGGTGGGATTTATGGCTCAGGGCTTTGCCCTTTTATGAAGTATAATGCATTTTTAAAAGTAGATTTTTCTTTTAGAGAAGTTTTAGGTTCACAGCAAAATTGAGAGAAAGCACCGATTTTCCCATATAACCCTGTCCCCAATTGTAGTCTCCCCCACTGTCGACGTCCCCCAACGAACCTACATGGATGTGTCATCACTCAAAGTGCAGAGTTCACCTTAGGGCTCACTCTTGGTGTTGTACATTCTAGAGGTCTGGACAGATGTATAATGACACGTGTCCACTTTTACGGTGCCATACAGAGTGGTTTCACTGCCTCAAGGACCCATTGGTGCTCCAGGACAATGCCTTTGTTTCCCGCCAGAGTCAGGAACAATTCCAGGAAGGCAGCAGCTGCCCTGAGCAGACACGGAATCCAGGCCCTGGAGAGGGAGGAGCCCGACCAGCGACATCAGGGTGAAGGGAGGCGGGCGGTGGGAGTGGACACCATGGTCCCCAACACACTAAAGTTTATATTTATCTCCATAAGAAGTGTCCGTACGACTAAAGCAGCCCGACAGAGGAGTGGAGAAGCTGCCTCTCCCTTCCCCAGGAGACGGAAGAGAGTTCATGGAATGAACTGAAATGCTTTGGATTCACAAACCCTGTCCTGGGTGGGACAGGGCTGAGAGATGGGTGGAAGGCAAATGATCAGGCTGGACAAGTTTCATGGTGGCCTTGGGAGCTTTAGTGAGGCCCTCTGGAGCTTTAGGGACAGGAAGGAGGTGGGGGGCTGGTGTGCAAAGAGGAGGGGCGCAGCTGGGGCAAAGGAGCAGAGGCCGAGCATTTCTGTGCATTCAGATGTGAATGTTCACGAAGCTTAGAATCAAATGGATGGTTTAAGAAACCGCCAGCCCACACACACTCTGGGCACGCTGGAGGCGGCTGAGCGAACAGCCCCACGCACCCCCTTCCCCCAGCTCCCACCCTGTTCTCCCGGCTCAGAGCTTGGGACACAAGGCCCTTCCCCCTCCCCCTGCCCTGGCAAGGACCTTGGCCTCTGTTGCCAGGAGCCTGTGGAGATTTGGGGCCAGCGGGCTGCCTAGGCGAGAAAGAGAGAGAGAAAGCAAGG